AGAGGCACTCCGTTGTCCAATTCAGCCGAACAGGAGCATGGAAATGAAAGCAGTTTGAGCAAACAACACACAAATATCTGTCTCAACATTGACAAATCCAAACTCTGGAATGCTGGAAACACAGCTGGAAACACACACAAAAAAAACTTTTTGCACGCGCCAAAAGTTCATTTTCAAGCATTTCGAGCTCCAGAAAAGCAGCCCGATGTCCAATTCAGCTGAACAGGAGCGTATGCAGACATGGAAAAACTGCTTCCCAAAGAGAAATCTAAGGTTTGGCATGCTGCAAACATACAAAACAAACTTTTACCTCCAGGTAAAAGTTTTTTTTCAGCATTTCGAGCTGCGTTAACGCAATGCGCCAAGGACTTTAAGCAAGCAATACAAATTCTGCCCTCAAATCAAATCCAGAGCCTGGCTGGAATGCAGGAACAAAGCTCTTCCAGACCAATACAGTGGACGCCAAAAAGTTGGAACATGCACACCCTAACATTCTGCACTCCATGAGCGAGCGCGTGCAAGTTCCAATTTCGGCATTATGTTCCAAAGTTGGAACATTCTGATTCTGACTGGACCGGCCGGAAAACCCAGTGTCTGTGGATGTCATCAAGGTTGGCCATGGATGATATGGACATCATTATGCTTGGAGGGTGGGGGGGCACCCTGTGGAGGGGAAACAACCCCACCTAGCACTATCCTAAACCCTAAGCCCAGCTTCCCCTGGTTGGGGGACCCCAAAAAAATATACAGTAAACGCTGGGCCCTAAACCCTACGTGCCCGCTTTCCCCTAAAACTTGGGGGGCTAGGCACCCTAAACCCTATGCCCGGTTTCCCCAAAAATATAGCATAGGGACCTAGGCAGATGTGTCCTAAACCACCCTGAAAAACCCTGAAACGAAACCACCCCCACACGCAAACCGCAACCCTAGGAACCGGGGGGGCGGGGGGCGGGTTGGGAGGGAGGGTTTGAGGCAACACCAACCATGTTCCAACTTTAGCCTCCAAGATCAAAGTCGGAACCTGTGGCTTGGGGCCAATTTGCTCCAGTGGACACGTTCCAACCTCCCGGCTTCCACCATAAATACATAATACAATAAAACAACATCATTTGACAAGCCAGTGGCGACCAGTGTTACATTCACACATTTTTTGCGAACATCAGTCAGTGGCACTCACCAAAAGAAAAAAGCAACAGCAGCAACAGCTATACATCAGCAGGTTTCCCATTGCGCATCATCCACTGGATGTAGCGCCAAGTGGCGCGCTCGGACACTGGGAAGGGCACCACCACTGGGTTTTGCGTGTTTGCCCACTGGACAAAATTGCTGAGAGAGTTGAGGCGGCGTACAACTGTGTTGGTAGCCTTGTAGCTGAGCGCTGCCTCGATGCTGAAGTCGAGCTCGTCCAGGTCGACGCGACCAACCTCGTCGGCACACTGTGAGACGATCTCGAAGGCGTCTGGCCATGCTTTTACTAAAGCCGTGAGTTTGAAAACCGCGCTGTCGCGGCGGTCGCCTTCGTACGCTGTACGACGGGAGCACACCTTAAGTGCGAAGGCCATATCTTCCGCTACTAGCGGCTGGGTGCTAGCGGAAGCTTTCCGCTTGAGCATCAGGCTGGACTCGTGCAGCACTGGCACGGGACCCACAGAAGCGGGGCGAGTCACTGACAGCTCCCAGGGCCAGCTCGCATTATGCGCAAACCATGAGGCTGATTCCCACGGCTGACGAGCACCGGCTCTGCGTGGTATTGACGACCAGAGGTTACTAACCTGGTCGTTGAAGTCGCCCTCCGGGGCGCTGCCCCTGGGCAGCATCCTTGACACAAGGAAGAGGAGCACTGCTCAAGCCAACGGCTGTTGTAGAGGCGGCTTGCAAGGAACGGGCTACCAGCACACAGATACAAGCGCACTGACTCAGTAAGGCTCAACTCAAGCGACGCGCTGCGACCCGCACCCTCCCCGGGCAGTCCTGAGGGAGGAGAGGAGGGAGAGAGAGCTGGGAGGGAAGTGAGGCTTAAAAGGCTGCGGCGATCACGCACTGGAGGACTCGCGGCCACGCTGGTGGCACTGCACCTATAGGTGCTACCTCCAGAGGACCTACCAGGTCTGGGAAAACTGCATTGAAACCTACTAGGCAAAATAAACTGCAGCCCTACAAGGTCTGTGTGCACGCGCAACCTGCGGTGTTCTTTTTCCGACCTCGCGGTGCGAGTGTCTGGGCTGAGCCCGCTTGTGAAGGTGCGCTGCACCTGCCTTCTGCGATCCGCAGACAGGCCGGTGGGCAGCGGGAGGCTCCTGTGGCTGAACTGTGCCGGCACTACTGTGCTCTGCACCTGTGTGAAACGGGCGCAGACGAAAGGGCCACTGGCCCTTCAAAACTGTATCCGAACACTGTTCGGAGGGCACTGGTGCACGCCGCTGGCGTCTCTACCAGCCACGGTAGTTCCAGCGCCGCTCGTGCTCCCAAGACCAGCGACCACGGGACCACTGGTCCCGGTCCTCGTCGTCAGGGCGGGACCTCTGGTCCTTGCCTTTGCCCTTGCCCTTGCCGTCTCTGCGGCGGGCCTCCCGTTCGCGGTGCTCGCGCTCACGGGCTTCGGCTGCCTCGCGCTCCAAGGTCAGCCGAAGAGACTCGGGCGGCCCCCTAGTAGGGCGGCGGTCGCCCTTGTACTCGAGCTTGCCGTCTGTCCGCGGGACAGTGCCTGGGCAAGAGTATTGCTTGGCGCAGCGTGTGCAATGCATCACGCCGCACTCTGGACACTGCCAGGCCTTGCTGCGGCGATCGTGGGTAAATTGCCCCACCGCGCCACTGGCGCTGGGCTGTTCATAGGCATGCACTGCTGCCTTGAAAGCGTGATGCTCGCCGCATGCACTGCACACGAACTCGGACGAGGGGTCGTTCCAGATGTTCATCTTACATTGTCTTCCTCCCCACTGGGGGGCCAGTCAAAAAGGCCGGTATACGGCCAGCCAGGCGTGGCCGCTGGCCGCATAGGCACGTCGCGCTGCGACATAGTATACCGGTGCATCGGATAGGCACTGCCTGATGTGTCCGGTTGTTCCCCCTGCATCTGCGCAAAAGGGTAGAAGGGGGGCCAAACTTTGGATTCCCCTTCCCCTGCTCGATTGAGGGCTTCGTGGTCGTCGCTGACGACCGCGGGGTCTACCCGCATGGCGCAACTAATGGCCCAAAGGAGATAACTTATCTCCTGTTGTGCCATTTCTTCACGCATGGCCTGCTCTAGCACAAATATTGGATTGCACTGCAAAAAGCGGAGGCAGGAGCGACACTGTCGCACGCGTTGCAGGCATTGTGGCGCTGCCAACTGATTTTCCTGACCGTTCCTCCTAGGGTACGGCGCCTCTGGCGACTCAGCCGCATAAATGCGTGCTGCTTGGTCAACCATAACTGGCACTGACAGTTATATCAAAGGGAGTGGAAGGTCGTCGCTGACGACCCCCACTGCTGCGGAGCACTACAAGCTACTCTATAAAAACTTTTGGATCACAGATCCAACTTCAAGCCGAAAGCTGCACGGCAAAGATTGTCTAGTGTAACTCACACACAAGTGAAAACACTGTTTTCCTTTTTCGACAAACTTTGTCTACACTTTCGGCGGAAAATAAAACCCATTCACGCACGCATGATGGATGCTTGATGTTCAGCCACGCTCCAATCGATTGATTGTGTTGCATGAACCATTGCTGCCAGATCTCCCTGAACTGCCGAACCTCAGTCTCGGTGAACAGCGGGAGTTCGCTTTCGGACTCCACATTTTTCATTCAGTTCGCAGCATCCGGTGAATGGACGCTTTGCGACCGCAACTCTGGAAACAGGCATCAGACTTTGATACCCGGCTTGTAGCTGTACTATGTACATTTCCGATAGTTACAGAAAACGTGTGGATACCCCGCCGCGTACGGCCAAGCAGATATCCAAAAGCTTAAAAGACTATTGCCTTCGTCACGAGTGACTAAGCAAGGCAGTAGCAGTGATCACTCAACAAACGTAAAGCTGTAGAAAAGTTCGGCGCATGCATACAGGAGAAAGATTGTCGGCACAATGAGAATGCAGACTAAAGTCAACTCGATCACTGTGCTATGATCCACTGTCACTTCCCTGGCTGATTCATGAATCACGGCATAGGCCAAACAGATAGCAGTTGGATATGGCATGCTGCATGTCTGCACTGCTGCATAAACGAACTTCTCTGCCATCATCCGTAAGCATTGCCATCCATGTGGTATCGCCATTGGGAAGCTGCCGAAAGCCACTCAGAATGGAGCGGTAGTGACCTGCCCATGGGTGCATACCAGTATGCACCAGCACTGTAACAAGTCTGTATCGTTGCCATTGCACATGAAGGCCTTGGGCACGTTCAAAAATTGGCAGATCGATAGGCGCTCCAACCTCAAATGGAAATGGCATGAGATCTTTGCGAGCTGGTCGGCTGGGATCTTTCTGAGCCCATCGCTTAAGTTGAAAGAAGAGCATCCTAGGGGCCTGGCAAAAAGCATAAGGAAAAGGTGGTTGCAAATGCCAGTCGACGATGCTTGCCTGCAATCCTCGCGAATTCAGCTCCAGAGTGATTGGCTGCAGGGGATGGCCTGAATCAGCAACACAAACTGCCGGGCCAAATTGGTATCTGGATTGCCAAAGGCCTGCATAGGCTGATGGTCGAGCATATTCAAGCATAAAGCCCAAAAACTCCACAGCGTCCTGTTGGCGGTCAAAGCGGGTGTGTAGAAAGGTCTGAAACTGCTGCAAGAGTGTGAGCCAGAAAGGTATATCTTGCAAACAAGCATTGCCAACCTGACGTAGGCGCTCCAGGGGATGGCGAAGTTGCCCATATGTATCAGCCTGTTCAAGTTGTCGCTCATGTATCATGCCATGCCAAAGGAACATGTTAATGGTAGCATTTGCATAACAGAGATTGTGAGGATTGCGAAGACGAAGTCTGAGCATGGGCCTCGAGCATCCCTGCTGCAAGCTCCACTCTAGGAGGTGGGTTCCTCCTGCTGTCCCGTCTGGTCCCCCTCTTTCGCGATCGGCACTGCTGGGTGCTTCGGTGGCATTTCGCGTGCCGGACTGGGGCGATTCGATGAGGGCTTTCTGTAGTTCCGTCCGCGGCCCATGGGATGCTCCGTGGGCGGTGGGAATTGCTCGGCAAGCACCCGGGCTAGCGGCTGGCGTTCCATCCTGGCTGGGCGGACTCGGAATTTCAACAGTTGGCTGCTGGCGTTGAAGCATAGCGAGCACAGAGCGCGGTGGCAGAGTAGGGACTTTGGGTCCCGCATCCCGATCGTCACCAGGAACGTGACCGGGGACTGGTGCTGCTCCACAAGCCGTCGCGTTGCATGGAATCGAAGGAGGGCTCCCGGGGCTGTGATGGACGACTCCAGGGTAGCCAGAGCTGTCATCAGCTCCTTGTGATCCAGAGCCGGGGTTTGCGACTCTTCCAGCATCTGGCGTTCCTGGTTCCATCGTAGATATGGCCATTCCATGCCCTGCCCGGCATCCTTCTGGCGAAGAAGCTTTAGCTTGGCCAGTTGCTCCAAGTCCTCCGGCTGCTCGAGGTTGGTGGTGATTTGTTTCGTCCATTGGCGAAGCAGGCCCAGGAACAGAACAAGCCTGAGAGAGGAGTCCACCTCCCCTTTCTCCTTCTTCTCCTTCCAGAGGACCGCCATCTTGAACATGAGGCCCAGCATGTTCACCATGTTGGAGTCTGCCTCGGTCGTGGGCGGCTCGAAAGTAAAAAGAAAGTCGCGCTCTGTGCGAGCTTGTGAGAGCTCGTCTTCGTGCCGCAGGGCCATCCTCGCCAGGAGCCTCACATGCTCCTGAAGGGCTTCCACCATTTGGCGTAACTCCTTCACCTCGCTGTGGTGGTACCATTCGTCGTCCCACTCCTGCTGCTTCCAGCCCTGTCCTTGCCGACGCTGCAGCTGTTGGTCCTTCCATCCCCTGGGGTTTTGCCAGGAGCTTGCTGGTGGGCTGGGGTTGTTCTGCTTGTCGTCTGCCGGTCCCTTGGTGGGTGACTGCCCTTGGCCCTGCCCCTTCCCCGCTGGCTTGGAAAACTTGGTGGGTCGGATCTGTTGATCCTCCGTTCGTTTCCCCAGAGTTGGGGCTGCAGGCATGTCCACATCCTCCCGTGGATGGGGCTGCATTGTCGCCACAGCCTCGCCCAAGATGTCCCGCACTTCCTCCGCCGCTAACTGTCCCCTGGTCATAGGGTCCTGTGGTCCAAAGGTCTCCTCCTGGTGGGCCATTATAGGTTGATTCAGACCTGAGCTGTCGCAGGGCACGCCAGTAGTGTAACATAAGGCAGAGCTGATGCAGGATACGACATCTGTGTCGCCCACGGGGTGTCGCTCCACAGGCTTTGCAGGGTCGAGCGTGTCCTTCTGCGAGGGTCAAACTGTGAGCCATAGCATCGTCCCAGTACAACATCAAATCTGGATGTATAGCTCGCACATGTAAAATCATGGAGCTTGGTGCACGTGCTACCCATTGACCGCAAAGCACGCAATGATGCCGAAGAGTTTCTTTCATCGCACTGATGTTGAGAACGTCCTTCCACTGGTTAGTGGAAAGCAAGGCTTGCACTTCAGGTAGCTCAAAAGGAGCCAGGAGCGCGTTTTCTGTTGCACCTTCAGCAGTGAGCCCCGCAGCGAACTGCAAAGCAGGCTCGGGTTGGGGCCCCGCAGCGGACTGCAAAGCAGGCCTTTCACCCTTTGCGTCAGAATGCAACACAACACAGCTGGTAAGTATATGTACACGAAATTGGTGCCAAGTAGAGAGCTTTGCGTTACAATGTCGACAAATAGGCATATTGTTGGTGCAATGGTCTTGTATGCGAAGTCCATGCAATCTTTTGGCGGGTCCAGCTGAGACTACCTGAAGTCTCCATCCATGAGTCTTGGTGTGATGAGAGCGCATCCCTGGCAGCGTGTCAAAGTATTGTCCGCAAGTAGGGCAGGCAAAGGCTTGGGTAGCCGTGACTTCCTGAAGACCATGTCGCAGAGCTGCGAGGTGTTGCTTGAGTTCTTCTATTCGCTGTTGAAATTGTGCTACCGCCTGATCTTGGAGTTTGGTGAGGGTACGAGTTCGCTGTTTCAAGAGCTTCAGCAGGTAGTCTCCTGGTTGTATCAAACCAAGTCGTTTGTACAGGGCCCCCGTAGGTTCCCGGGTGATATGCACCGGGCTACGAGAGATAGCTCGAACATGTTTGACCTCAAAGGTATGTAGTCTTCTCAGCCCAGCGGCAGTGAGGCCAACCGGCATGAGACCATATAAGGCCGCCGTTCGGACACACAGTGTGTAAAGCTGGAGGCGCTTGCGAACAGAAAGATATCTACGAGCATGTAGAATTTTAATGAGCCGGCCTCTGGTATTACGAGCCACATCCAGTCTGTAATTCAGGGTGATGTCCTCGAAACCACCATAGGAGATACTGACACCAAGGTAAGTCAGACTATCCTTGATAGGTATGATCAATTGCTGATGCGGGGGGCCAAGCACAAGCCGTCGGGCATCTGGAGGTCCATGTACATGGGGTGCAAGAGTAGATTTGCCTAGCAGGCCTTTGACACCCAGGATAATACCAGACTTTTGCGGATTCACCTGCATTCCAAATCGTTGATATACTGAAAAGATGACAGGTATGGCCTGCAGAGCTGAGCGAAGGTCTCCCAATGAATTCACTAGCCAGCTGGCATGTGTGTCATCAGCGTACAGCGTCAGATGTTGCGATACCCAGGTGTGGGACAATTCTTGACCTAGATGGTCAGCTACATAGGCTGAGTATACTACCCACAGCAAAGGAGCTAGTGTACATCCTTGGCGTACTCCACGTCGCATGTTAATGTGACTGTGACGTCCGCGATGATTGATGCTGTACTTACAAACTTCGTGCAGATCTATAATTGTTCGTGCCAAAGTCTCGCTGGCGCCTGCCCAAATCAGTGCCTGATATAGCCGTTCACGAGGTACTCGATCAAAAGCTGTTGAAAGATCGATTGCAAGTTGTATGCCGCCAATGGCCACTTTCTGTTTGATTTGGGCCCGACGTGTATGCACAGTAGCCTGCTGCCCTTCATGCATAGAGCGGACTTGTCTGCAGTGGGCCGTCACTCGCGAAATAGCAGTGTCTGTGCTTTTACCAGGTACATATGCAAACAGTGGCAAAGCGGCTATGGTGGAGCTGACTTCTCGTAAGAGTAATTGCTTCAGTACCTTAGCATAGGCCTTGGCACCAGTATCTTGTAGTCCTAGAGGTCGGAGGTTTTCGGGTCGTTTCCCCGATTTGTGTGGCTTGGGGATGAGTGCCAGAGTACAGTCGGCCCACAAAGACGGCGTCTCAGCCCCATTCAGACAGGTCTCGGCCTGAGGAGCAGCAATCGTGGAGATCATGTCCGAGCATGCACGTACCGCACTGGTAGGAGCGCTGCCCGGAGGTACTGCCTTGCCCATCTTGAGCGAGTCGAGGGCTTGCTGAAACATAAGCGGGCTGACCTCGTAGTGTGCCGAAGGTCGAGCTGCAGACAGTGTGCATCCAGACTGTCGAGACAGAAACAAAGTCTCAAAATGTTCAACAATGGCCTGCTGCTCCTGTTGATAGGTGAGCATCTCACCCTGTTTACCATGTATACGAACCTGGGCATGTCGGGTTTTGGGGGCCATTTGCCGAATAATGCGATGCAATAAGCCATGATCACCCCGCTCAACTGCAGTCTGGGCCTGTTCCAGGTAGTTCTCGAGGACGGCTTTGCGAGCGTCTCGGCCCCTTTTTCGAAGGGCCTTGTAGGCTTTTTGAAATTCCTGGCGTCGTCGCCATGCTTGAAAACATGCTCGAAAGGAGCCTGGTGGGTGGTCAGCCGGTCTTTGCATTCGCCTCCTTGCTCGCCACATGTCCGCTACTGATGTTTGCACCTCCGACGTCTGCCAAGCCCGGAGCTGTGGTTGAGGAGGAGCTCGCGGAAAAAGCCTGCAAACCAAATCGAGCAGAATATCGTTAATTTGTTGAAGGTCAGAGGTTTGTGCCGCCGCAAGTTTGGACCTGAAAGCTTCTCGGAGGGCATCATATTGCGGAGTGCGATCTCGGACAGCAGCCGTGAGAGCCAAGTTATCATAAGATCTTTTGGGCTGAGTGGACGACCGTGGTGAGGCCCGCTGCCAGCCTGGATGTAGAGGGAGAGTGGCCTCAACTGGGTGATGCTTGCCCCCTTGACGCCACGGACTGAGTGTGAAGCCTCGTTGGGGTAGAGCACGTCGAGCCACTGCATCTGCATGTCCCTGTCGGGTGATGATAAAGTCAATGATGGACTGATGCCTAGGACCTGTAAAGGTAGGGAGCAGACGACGTCGAGACCATGTGTTGAGTACGACCAGCTGGTTAGCTTCCAGGATGGTGGTAAATTCTGCAGCATCCGAGTAGAGCTCAGCCCTGGACATTGAGCATCCGATGTGTCCCGCGACATAAATCGGGGTACAGTTGAAGTCGCCCAGCAGAACCAACATGTTTCGCCTGGCCAGCTGTTGTATAGTGGCATTTAGGCTGTCCCACAGACTGTGTCGTTTGGAGAGATTGTGTCCCGCTGAATCTGGCTGGTAAGCTTGTTGATAAAAGTTCACCACATCTATGTGATATTCGGGTCGTGCGAGACGTACATGTAGCAGACGGCCTGGTTTGATCTCCTTGTGGTGAATCTCCGCATCACCCTGGAAGTCCTGTCGAACCAGCGTGGCAAGGCCCTGAAATCTAGAGGAAGGATCGACACTGGTTATGAAGGTCCAACCTGCCGAGGACCAGTGTGAGGACTCTTTCCCCAGACCATGGTGGATTTCCTGCAGAGCTATGATATCATACGGTGCTTTAGGGAGCCAGGCCATAAGACAATCAAACGTTGTGGCGTCAAGACCACCAACATTCAGACTGAAAGTGCGAAGCCTGGAGCGCTGCCGCGTTGTCGGCGAGGACGCAGTCTTTGCAGAGGGCCTGTTGGGCTTTGGGTGTGGATCACTATGTTGGGGCGCACGAAGAGTTCGGCCTCGATAGACGGTTGTTCCATCCTGTGAGGAACGGGCTCGACGAAGCGCTCGGGCAAAAGCTCGTTTGCGAATTCGTTGCCTGCCTGAGCATGGCGCCGGAAAAGTAGTCGTGCAAGCGGTGCTCCCACCTAAAAGTTCACCCCGAAGGGCTCCAGAAACCGGGCGGGAATCAGAATCAACCCTCGCATCTGTGCCGGCACATGCTGCTGGTATCCATGCGATCAACAGCAAAAGTAGTAGTGGTGTGCGTAAACATCGAATGCTTCCGGCACCCTGGGACTTGGGACCCAGGCGGCACTGCTTTGTAGGAGACGTGGGCGTAGTAGGAGAGGCACCTGTACCAGAGCAAACTTGACATAGAGCTTCATCATTGATGTGGGGCTGCCAGCTTGCAGGTACTCTAAGAGTGCCACCGTACCGAATGTCCGAAAGGTGGTGGTAGAAGGCCTGGCAAATGTAGAAGATGCACTGCATGTACCGGTAGAGGGCAGATATGCAAATCAGCAGCGGCACCTGTTTTTCCCAGTTCCACCACGCATCCATGAAAAGTGAAGGCTTTGCACAGGAGGAAGTACATTCAGTCTTTGGTGGCTGGTTCAAACCCGAGACCATCAGCACTAGCAGGGGTGAGAGGGCTGAAACCATCTGAACTGCTATCTTCAGGGACTGTGGCTGTGGCTGCAGCAAGGTCGTCCTCCGGTCGAGAGGATGTATCGAAGGGGTTCTCATCGATCTCATCGTCCTCCGCCGGGCATTCAGACTCCGAGTTTTCATGATCCTCGCGAGGAGCTGGTAGAGTGTTGACGGCAGCATGCGCCCGTGTAGAGGCTGTCGTGGGTTTGGCTGGGCCCCTTTCCGCACGAAGCCGCCGGGCTTCTTCAGCCAGCTCTCGAATGGTGATCTCGTCGGAATCCATAGAGTCCGTGCCGCTTGGGAGTGAGTCCTCCGCAAGGGTTGCAGCATCATCAGCAGCATAGTGGACTGGCACCGGAGGAGGCGGACCACTAGGCGGTGCATCAGGCGGAGAAGGTTCCGGCTGCAAATACCGTGGTCTAAGCAGGGGCCGAGTCCTAGGACTTCTCGAGCGAGGTGGCTCAGAGTCACCTTCATCCGGCCTTTTGGGCCCCGGCATTGGTAGCAGAGAAGGGTAATTATCCGCCAGAGTGGGGCTGCAGTCAAACAAGCTGTGCGAACAAGCGGCTGCAAGAAAAATTTGATTCGGCTGCAGAGCAAAGCTTCAAACAGAAAAGTGCATAGCAAACCGACAAGTCTCGCCAGGAGGGCCGGATCTGCATCAGGTGGTACTCGCAGGCTGCGAAGCATCAATCGTCGGGCCCCTTCTAAGGCTCGCAAGATATACTCCAACCTCAGAGGAGCACCTGAACTAATCCATGTTAGCAAGATCATCAATCTTTCCAATCTGTGCTGCGTACGCGCATTCAACCATGCAGTGGGCAAACTCTTCATTGAGAAAGTAGGTGTTGGAAATAAGCCGAACACGTTGGTTAGGTTGTAACAGTGTCCAGCAATCCATCCAGATACTGAAAGGAGCTTCCCAAAGCCAGCTGCTTCCATACAGATTTTGCAAGGATTGCTTGGCTGAGGGCGGGAGCTCTCTCCACTTCTCACACAGCAGTTCCATAGCAAGGTCAGAAATGCATTTATGCAGCAGATCTTGGTGCCTCCACCAGGCCGTTTTCGAAATCTTGTTGTGCCCTCGCGGAGGGCACAGGTCCATAGCAGTAGCTGCAGCCATGGGGGCATGTGCCCAAGTCCCTGAACGAAGAACAAAGCCGAACCCCAAAACACCAACCACAGCGTCCGAGAAGCCAGCAATCCTACACCGGCCCTTGTCGCCGTCAGCTATCCTTTGGATGAGCCGAGATGCTTTTTCGGACTCCACATGGGCTCGCAATCGCAATGGGGCCCTGATGTGGAAAAGGTACTCCACAAGCTGCTTACGCACTCCCCCTAGGAGGTCCTTGCAGCCGCTCGGAGGAAAACTCCAATCCGGCATGGAGTAGATCCCACCTCCGTCCTGTGTGCTTCGGGGAAGTTCCTCCTTGGTTTTGTGAGTTCGAAGAAACCTAACCTGTTCAAGAGAAATGGTGTATGGCTTGCTCGAGGTCTCGAACAAAGGAAGAACAGCTTCTGCATAGGCCTGTGCGAGCTGTACCGGAAACTCCGATGTAGCTCTTGAAGCGTAAACGCCGTCTTTGTCCACAATCCCTGCCACCTGTGCATGCGACTGAGGATCGTGTTGACAACTACATGCAATCTGCTGGAGATCCCGAAAACTGCATGCGAAACACCACTGCTTCAGTACATCCATACCGTAGCCACAAGCAGCCACACAGTTCAGGTCCGCGTTGATGTGTTGCAGAAATTCTCGGACTTCCTGCTCCAACCATGCCATGCTGTACAAAGGGTTTTCCAGACTAACATGCCCTCCAGCACAGTATGTTGCCAGCAGCAAATTGATTGTACGAACCAGCACTCTTTTACTTTGCTCCAGACGTTGCCGCTCTGACGGACTCAAATCAGGAACGCCAGACATGTGTTCTGGAGTGCGAAGCGCCCTGGGGCCACCATCTGCCCGGAGCTTGAGCCTGGAGTACTCCGTGCAAGGTGGAGAGGCGTGTGCCAGATTCACCTGTCCGCTGTAGCATAGCCGCATGAGGCTGTCATAAGTGGAGTCATTCAACAAGTTGTGATCTTCATGCAAAAGAATGTCGATCGAAAGCACTGAAACACCTTTCGCCAGGAGGGCAGCAGACAGAGGCCGATTTGGCCCAGAACAGATCTCCAGAAAAAGATTTCCGCGGATTGCATCAAGGTCGGGAGGCATGATTGCCACTGGTAGCCGCAGCTGTGCCTGGTCAATTTTGGCAGCCCGAGACTCACACTCCGCCTCGTCGATCACCATGGCGTCGCCTGGTAGCGGAAACGTAAGATCACGTAAAGAGCGAAGATCCGGTTCCGGCATTGAGCCCCAAGTGCAAGAAGTATAGGCCGTCACGACCCATCTGTCACCAACCCATGGCTCCGAACAATGAGCAATGCGGCCATCCCAAGAAAAACCACACCTCCTGGTCTGAATTATGCAACCCAACAGCGAGGCATCAGCTGATGTGTCCGGCGGAGGCACTCGCGGAAGGTGAGGAAGTTCGTCTGGCGGCAAAGCCACCCACAAACCGCCTTTCTCAAAAGCTCCAACACTGAATGAATAATTCAAAGATCCCGGAAGGCTCTTATCCACGTGGATGTGAGCGAACTCATTGTGACTGACACAAAAACTGGACCATGTGCCGTCTGGAAAAATCTGCCGAAGGAAAATGTTCAGGTACTCAACGAATTCTGCGTTTTCTGCTGTGCCTTTGCAAAGCCCCGCATTGGAGCCCGCTCTCGCCCCAAAATTGAAATATTGTGCTCGAGATCGCGCACCTGCAAGAACTGTATCTCGGTAGAGAGGAGCATCACCCAAACAGTGAGTCTGCAGGATAGCCAAGCAAGCTTCCCAAGAAAAATCCGCTGAAGTCGGCGACGGAAGTTCGCTGGATCGACCAGTCCGCACATCGGAGTGTTCCGCCACCGACTGTGACCTTCAGATTTTGCGGTGTTGGAAAGCAGGATGCTTCCCTAGGCATGGCTTTCCATCTGGGCCGGGAACCGGGCAGAGATGCTCGAATTTACAGTTTTCGAACTTGCATCCGTCTGGAGAACTGTAACCACGGCACAATTGTTTGCGTTGACCCTTGGAGTCCGTGTAAGAAAGCATCCAGCGTTGACTGTTGGTGCCATTGCCCTTGTTGCCCTTGCCGTTCTTACCACCCGGGGAGTCTTTCCCCTTGCCATTGCCTTTGAAAGGCTGCCTGTTGATCTTCAAGATTTGGCTGCGAGGCTGCAACATGGCAGCCAAGTCACCGCGAACTTGCACTACCTCCGTCAGTGCATCATTCAGGCTCCACTTGTGGACATTGACCAAATCCGCGATCAAGCCCCAAATGTGCTTGTCTGCCGCCTGAAGCTCCTCCATATTCGGGCTTCGGAGCCCCGAAGATGCCTCATGCCGCTGGCAGGCCAGGCGGATGAACTTGCGCTCGTAAAGCCGCAGGCTCTGAAGGTGAGCCCCCTTAACGAAGGCGAGTGATATGCACAAAAGACCCAAGATGCCCTGCAGGAAGGTCATGCCGACTTGGCCTTGAGGTAGCTCTCTTGAAGGTATCTCGTCGTACACCAGCTCTTCCAACCTCGGGATTTTTGCCGGCCTGCGCAGAGCGAAAGACTCCTCTTGGGATTTGCTCATCCGATGTTTCCAAGCCACCCACCGCATCTCACCTGGTTTAACAAGCTTTGCGGCCAACGCTAAGAGCCGGTGACCTGGGGTGTTATCCGCATCCAAGACCTCTCCTGGGTACGAAGCCTCGAACTCAAGGCGGAGTTTCACCACCTCCTCACCTGTCAATTTAGCCGGGAAAGAGTCTACCCATGAAGCTGCATTGGATGTCATGCTTGCGTGGGCCGCACTCCCCGCATTCGAACCAGTTGCTGTCACAGACTGACACTTCTGAAACAGCAGGCGGAAGGATGACATAAGACGTAGTTTCTCGGTGGATTCCGCAGGCAAGGCGGCCCCCTCCAGCAGTATCTCGATTGAGGCATCCACTTCCGAGTGTGAGGCTGCTAGGCAACCAAACAGCGGCACGTCATAACCATCCAGCACGAAGTGGAACTCCTGCGGTACTCTGCATGCAACGGCAAGCTCCAAAAGCGCCGCATCCACGTTTGCCATGGAAGCCTGAAGCGAGGTGCAGACAGACAGGTTGAAATTGCAATCGATGAACGATCGGCAGCAGTAGCCCTTGCCCGCTGCACACACGTGCGATTGGCCTCACGGCTGCCAGGTTTCCGAAGGACTTTTATGCCCGGTAGTATCATATCCCACTGGCTGCAATCGCCATGCACTTGCCTTGAAGGTAAGACAACTAGGTAACTAGGGGGGGGTCGCCCTCCGCATTTCACGACCGTCTTGGATGGCGGACTGGCACACACGTGCGATCAGATCTGCCAGCACTGGCGCCTACACCTGCTGCGCGAACCATGCACAGCCCTTTCCACAGCCTGGATTTCAGACCCACATATTGCAGCCGACTGAAACCCAGCAGCAAATCGGCAAGCCCATATCGAACCGAAACGCCGCATTGCCGCGGCGAGCACGCACGTGCGGATCGACTCCCGGCCAATCTTGACACGAATGGAAAGCAGTTTCCCCGCCTGCTCGTCAAGACCAGCTTGATCCCGCCGCCGAGCTGAGGGCCCGTTAAAGCTGAACACACGTAATGTTAAGGTGATCAAACACATGCACTCCTTTTCAATGGTCGCAATGCACACTCCGCCAGGCGGCAGGAAATCCTGCCACTGGCTCATCCCCCCTTTCGAGGCTTAAAACAAGCCACATGGGGCTACACCAGGCACAAGCCACTGCTAACACAGCCCGCGCCAGGGGCAATCACCGGGCACCGCCCACTCCAGGGGCAACATAGAGACACTGTAGGAAGGGGTGGGAGGGCGGGAAATTTTGTGCGCAGCAAGAAGTGCGAGCAAAGGCTGCACACAAACACAGACACACTTAACACCCGTGTGTTCGCTGCATGCGCTTGTAGAGTGGTATGTGCGCGCAAGCACCCCCCACGAAACATGTTCAGTGCCAATCTTGCATGCTGCATTTCTCAAGCGCTCCAGTGTTAGTAGTATGCAATGGCGATTTGATTTTCCGAAACTCGCCTGCATGCTACGTGCATGCAAAGGCGTGCCCCTACCGGCACGGTGGTCAAAACTGCAAAAGACTTGGCCAAGGCTCCACACCGTGGCCTAAGGTGGGCAGTGTGCCCTTCAGCATAAGTTGCCGTTCCCGATGCACCTTCCGGAGGCGCTGCCACATGGACTGTACCTGATGCCCCCTGCAAGAACAAGAATTCATCGCACTCCTCAGGCTGGAAAGTGGCTGAGATGGCCACACTTGAGCGCCGGACCGAACCTGAAGTGCCGGCATCCTGCTCCGACTCACTGGATGAAGATAAAGCGGCCTCCAACGTAGGAGCCTGCATATCACTGCTGCCTGCTGCCTGGGACTCTTCCCTATCGACCTGCACCGCCTCATGAGAGACCTCAGGTGGAAACACATCCAAAAGCGGAAATCTGGGGTGCACAGGTTCGCTAGGGACATTCACATGAACAAAAGGTCGTTGGGGGGTGGGATGTTGTCCCCCACGCCCCAGAGGGGTACTCGGCATCCACCCCGAGCGAAGCGATTGCACAAGGGCTCGTTGAGCTTCTAGCGCCGGCCAGATATCGTCCCGTGAATAAAGTCGGGCACTCCGGCCCGACGGTTGGTGGTGTCCTTGCGCTTCACGGCGCGAGGTTCTGAAGCCTCTCTGTGCCATCACAGCAAGTAAACATGCTTTCATGCTGTGCACAGTGAAGTCACGCGCTTCCTCAGCACTCAAACCGAGAGAAATCAAGGTGCATCGGAGCGCCGACAGAACTTCCCCGTATGACATGGGAGCAAACTCAGAATCGGTGCTTCTGAAGAACAGACAGTCTGGCGTCACATCTCCAAATCGATTGACCACTGCATCCCATTCCTCACCCAAAAGAGAGAGGTACTTGGCCACCCAAGTGCGTGTGAACTCGCGCTTGAAACCATAAATGCCCTGTGTTATCAGACCGAAAAGGACCCCTCTACGACTAACCTTAGTGCGGAAGTTCACTCCACGCAAGCACCAGGAGCCGGACTGAAGCGAAGTCCATTTGGTGTGTTGAGCATCGCTGAGACGAAGACTGCTCCAACAACAGACCAATACCGCGCCTATGAATAAGCGATGCTGCACGGAGCCCTCAGCCAAAAGCAAGCTCCTTTCAAGAAGTCCCAGGACAAACATGGGAAGCGGAAGCGCTTCCTTGCGGTCTGCCTCGATTTTTGCGGAGATGTTCAACATGATGCCTGAATACAAGTCCGGAAGGCGGAGAGCGAGTGCCTTGCGTGCCCAGCGGATTGCCTTAAGACTGTTGCCTACTTGGCTGCCCCCTTTATGCATGACCAGCAAAGCGTCAGCAACATCCACTTGCCGGACCTTATCCGACACCGGCACCCCCAAGCACTCCAAAGCTTCAATGAAATGCCTGACAGCACTGAGGTAACGCACAAGAGTCGTGTCCGCCACACTGCTAAGGATGCGGTGCTCAAGCACGTCGCCGTGAAAGGAACCTGACAAGTCGGCAAGGCAATCTGAGATTGGGAGCAGCCGGGGCTTGAGCATTTCCCAGATCATCTTGCCCTGCTCAAACTGCTTGGCATGACCGTCATTGATCGAGCTGAAACCCAGAGCCGGTGCATTATGCGACTGAGCCGGAAAACGGACACCCAAACCAAAATCTACACTAGCCTTAGCACAACCCCTGGGGGCCGGGGTCCGCTCCCTGTGCAAGACAGCGGAAGGTGCACTGATCGCCAATGTATTGGACGTCTCCAGGGGCCGAGGCCTGTGATAATCAGCTGCCTTGAGGGGAACAGGGTTTGGTAAAGGACTACAATCCCAGCCTACACGACTAAACCTCGGGCGTGGAACCGGATTATGCAGCGGTGCTGCTGCAACCCTGGGCACGAAAGGCCTACGACTGGGCTCGCTGAGCCTCCTAGGCCCCGGCACTGACGTGGGTGGTCGTGGCACCCCTTGCAAAGGAAGCACTGGGCCAGGCAGACTTCCATGCACAGTCTGCACTGAATGCGAATGCCTGCTGTTCTTATACCGCTTCACAATCACTGGCGCATGATTCTCGACTAACTCAAATGAGCATACCGACGACTTTGCAGGAGAGTCCACACTTTCAAGCAACCCTTGCAAATGACGCTCGAATGCCGAATCCGTGTGCTGGTGGCCTGCCGAGGCGGGAGCTGGTTCCAGCATGTCTGTAGAACCACTAACCCCCAATGTGCAGGCACCACTAAGTTCCGGCACTCTCGCAGTTAAGGGTGTACCTGCAGCAGCGCCAGGCAGCGAGGAAACAAATTCTGCATCCACCGAATCACACTCGGGCTCTCGGGAAGGCTTAGGGCTCGAGGCGGCGATGGGCAAGGCCATCCGTGCAAAAAGGCGTCTTTAAGCAACTCTCGTCTAGCACCTGTATGCATGTACCAAGAGGCCACAAGCAATGCGCGGCGATCGGAAACTTGCAAGAAGCCCCACACACGCGGAATGACTCTCGGATAAGCTGCCACGAGATCCTCCAGGCTGGGCTCAAACTCAGACTCAGCACTGGAAACACTGGATGCCACAAGAGCTCCCTCTAAGTTGGTCGGGTGCAGGCGGCTCTCCAGGACCGTCACACGCAACTGAAGTGAAGCTAGCTGATCTTGAAGTGACTCTTCTAACAGGCGAAGGTCTTCCCTGTGCACAAAGGAGCCACCGGCACTGGTCTCGGACTCAGAGTCCGGCTGCATGCGATGACCCCTCAGGGGGTCTCACGGTGAAGGTGTTGTTGTATGCTAGAAATAAAACTGCCAATTTGCAAGACAATGCGTGCTGAAAAACCACGTGAATCGAGTGACTCACCATGTACATGAAACACAACCCGCGTTGGTAAAGTCTTTGCGAAAAACATGTGCTTCGACATGTTGCTCTTTGGGCCGACAGCTGTTGTAAAAGGAATGTCAAACGCAATTAAGCTGAGTTGCATAAAAACCGCGTTGTTGTTTCATAAAAACAAGCTTGAGCAAGCACAAGGATCGGGGACAGACTTCAGCAACAAGCATCTCAGAAACCTTTGCCATCACTACCAAGAACTGGCGAGCCGGGTGAGATGCAAAACTCACGATCGGCCTTCCCCCTTTCCAGTCTTTCTTGAACTTAGGGAGAATATAAGCTGTTGACACACGAGCACAACGAGATCCAAAGCGAAAGGGGAATGCTTCAAGAATCCGATATGGCACCGCTTGTTCCATATGGGCTAGGATCGCCGAGGTGTTTAGTGACAATGGCTGAAAGACCGATTCGGCAGTGAACGTGTTCTGCAGCATCATCCAGTACTTCACAGGACAGAAAACATGTGCATGAGAGCCTTCATGATCCCGGACATGCCACACCAGTCCTTTGGTCCAGTTTTTCAACTCTCGAACCGTATCAACCGTCCAATGAGTGCCGACATGCTGTAAATGCAGGTTCCAAGCTTTCCCAGACCGTGATGGGCGATCCACTGTCTCACATCATCATGAAACATCTGCCAATGCTCAGTTTCAGTCATGAACACTGGGTTGGTACAGCTCGACTGGGCCAACTGAGCAAGTTCATTCGGCAGGGACAATAGAGTGGCAGAAGATGCAATGACGGTCAAGTCCGGATGGTGTTGAAGAAGTTCAGAGCAACAACACCTAACGCCGGCCTTTTATGGGTCCTCATGTGGGTTCCACAGATGTAGAATTCGTTTGTGCGAAAAGAGAATGTCTTTGATCTTTGGGTGGCTTCTATCTGTCCGACGATCATCCAACATGCCACGAACCAAGCGTTTGAAACCTGCCTCCGGCAACAGAAACGGAGTGGACAGAGGACGACATGTGGCCTTTGTAGCACATTGTTCAATCTAGACCTGCAGAGTCTCACAGAGGGGTCACCCAAGTGAGTAGCCATCCGAGACAGTCTGTATAGAACATCCGAGTCGACTCTGTTGCTGCGTAAATACTTCTGGGCAAGAAAAGGATTTCAAGCCGTTCGATGCCAAATCAAACAGAATCTGGTA